TTGAGAGTCCTTGGCGGTCCCCTGTGGCTACCTGGAAGGCTTAGTGGCTCCGAAAGCCAGAGAAACAACTTGTAGTGCGTTTCAGCGTAAAACCTAACTGAGGCCTGTGTGTATGTGTTGTATTTCCACATAAAGGATCGTTGGAACAGACACTTCCTGATTTTCGCGTGTGCTGCGTCCTTGTCAAGTGAAAGGCAAAGTGACATTGAGACTGGTTTCAAATGTCAAACTTCAGTTTCAGTGTTTGTTCTCTCCTGATTACGCTCTCTGGTTTGGATTCATGTGCAAAATTAACCTTAAGGGTTCAAATTTTAGAGGTAGTGAATAATTGTAGATAATCAATGGGATCTTCAGGGATCTTCAGTTTATGAGCAGCATTGCTTTTAGGAGCACCTGACCTTTTTCCTGTGTCATCAAGGTTGAATTTGGGTAACTGGCACTGCAAAAGTTAGTCTTTGAGCAACTGACAGAAGTAAATTTTCACCAAAACTTTGACATTAAAAAAAAAGCTTCCTCCTCTCTGTCCCTGGTTTGCTTTTTGTTGTGGTGTATGTTTTTTTTAATTTAAAACTGGTGGGATTGCACTGCAGTATCTCATGATGTGGCAGGGCTTGGTGATTCTTCTCAATTTGGTGCTGTCATTATGACTCGGTTACCGTTTAATATAGCTGAGACATTTTTTCAGGAAGCTCAAACTTGGTGCTAGGTAACAGTATTGCTGATGGTACTCCAGGGAGCTGTTACTCTAAGGGTGATGCTACAGCTTTCAAGGAGATGTGGAAAACTAGTCAATGTGTTTTAGGTACTCTGCATCTTTTCTGTTGTGCGTGTTCCAGAGAAACTCTTTTCTGTTAGAATTAGCTGTTGGACAACCTTACTTACCATGTGACTAAGGCTGGCTGCCTTTAAAGTTCATGCTGGGCCAGCACTGATAAATAACTGAGCAGTTGGTATTTGCCCGTAAGAGAAATGCAGAATCTGCTTCACTTAGGTGGACTCTTTGCATGGGGAAGTGGGTGGATTTAGACTCGTTTGATGTTTAGGATTTTTTTGGTAGTTACCATATGTGGACCTACAGCTTGTCTTGTCTTCCTGCTGGAATCAACAGAGAATTGCATTTCTAAGTTGTTCTTTGCGTTAATTTTCATGGCAACTTGAAAACAAACAGAACTGTAACCCCACTTAAGGATCAAACGGCAGAGAAGGCATTAGACCAGGATGTCTTAAGTACCAAGAAGAAAATAATTTAAATAGAAAAGCTGTTGGTTTTGGTATTGTTTTTTTCCCTGTAAAGCTATTCTCATGTTAGTAGTTTATTGCTTTTCTAATATACATACCAAAAAATCCAAGACCACTGTGCATTCTGCAAACAGTAACGCTCAGTCTAACTCCATGTTTTTTCTTCCTCCCTAGTTCTTAAGTTTACAGACTTAGTAGTTTCTCCTTGTTTCTGCTACTACAGTCATCTCTGCTTTCCCTTTCTCAACCAACTCTTCTACACTGCTGCAAGAAGTTTCAGCACCAATGTTTTCGTGCCCTCAATTCCTCTTACTCTCATCACAAAGCTGAGGTTCTGTACCTGTTTTTTAAAGACCCTCATTAATTTTGTACCAACTCAGTATCTGCCTAACTGCACCTCAACAAAACTGGCTGAGCTGAACTGTTGCTTTTCAGCCTTCGTTTTCGGTATTAGTTTAATGAAGAGGCTCATGTGGTTTTAGGTGAAGTGAACGCTAGACGCAGTAAGAGTGCTTTTAGAGAACAGTAAATTTCGAGTGTATCACTTAAGAGTTAGTCTGCCCTAGGAGTCATCAGTGACAAAGCATGCCAGATAATTAATTTGAAATTCTTCTGTGCCAGTCTTTTCTAAAACAAATATATGGGAAGCATGCCTGTGTGGGATGGGTATGGGTGCGGTGTAATAGTGAAAGAGCTACTCCCAGCCATTTGGCATGAGTGCTTGGGGATTCATTTTCTTAGGTCAAGCAGAAGTTGACTAGGCAGGGTGTTTATAGCAGATAGAAAAATGCTAAACGCTTCTTTTGTTGTGTGTATACTGTATAGTCTTAAGGCTGAACATTTAACAGTGTCTTCTAGTCCATGCTTTATCCTTTCGTAGTAGGATTAACAGAAAGCTTATGAAGATTCATGTTATTTCCAGCCCTCCCATAGTTGTTAAAGGCTTAATAAGGCCTGTTACTGGTATACTTGAATCCTTGGAGTTTTTGTCTCTTATTTTTACTTCTCTCTGGTATGTGCCTGTTAAATTTGCATGCTTTCTTCCCATCCTGAGCACAGGGAGAAACAAGAAACTCAAAACCAGAGTATTTCCTTTGGGATCACTCTGAGAAAAGGAAGTGGCTTTACTACTAGTATTAATCTCTAGAGCTTTATGATTCAGGCCCATGTTTCCTTTTTGCTGCTGCTTGTACTATATTGTACCTTTTTGTCTGTTCACTGTCAGTATCTTGACTTTCCAGTTCCTCAGAATATTCACATATCTTCTTGAGACTTGGTAGACACTTATATACCTCTTTATGCATACTTTTGTAACTTAAAAGGACAGAAATGTTTTTTTAAAGCTGAAAAAAACTCTTTGGAAACTGACACCTTTGTATTTTCTGTTTAGCATAGGAATAGAATTTTGGTGCATAGGAAGCAAAATTTAAAAAATGTACTTAAACACTTTCTATAAACATTTCATTTATTTAACAGAACTAAACATCGAAGCTTGTTTATACATTTTGAGAAGTCTCCCGCTGGTGATTTTCTCTTTTGTTTGGATCTGCCTTTTCTTGCTTATTCCTGCCTTATCTGGCTCCTGATGTCTTTCCTATTTTTTTATGGATTTTCCAAGCTGTTGTGTGACTCATTATTGAAACATTACAGCAACCAGTGCGCATCCCGTGACAGCATCACTTGTACAGTGTCTGTGCTGGGTAGAAGTTTGGGTGTAGCCAGTGTGACTTGACTAGTCTTCCAAACTATTTCTGTCCCCCAGCAGTAGTAGGAAAAAACTGTTTGGCAGCAGGGTACTGTTTGTCCACTGCAAAGTTAAAATTTGGCAACTGTTCTCTGCTGCAAATCTCAATTTTAATTTTTTTTTGTTTGTTTTTGAGAGGGAGTGGTATTGTAGGGCAGCTACTCTAACCCAAAAGGAATTGCACTTTACTTGAAAACTAAGTTTGTCAGCAGCCTGCATAGGAGGTATGTAAAACTCAGCGTGACAAAGCCCCTGGAACATCGTTAGTCTCACTGTTGTCGAGAAAAGTAAACTACAGAACGTAAAAGGATTTGCAGATGAAATGTCAAGGTTGTTCTGGCAGCTATAGAGGAGGAAGGGATTCTTTCTTTGATGTCTGAAGGTCATATAAGATGATGTTAAGTGGTTTATTTGGTATCATACCTACTAAAAAGGTTGCTGCCTTATCACAATTTATCACACTAAAGGAGATAAGTCATCTGGTTGCTTCAGAGTAGCCTTTTACCTGCTCTATTGGGAGAACTCGGGACATCTTAAAGGGAGCAATCAGTGATTCCAAAAAATTTGTGTGTGTGTCTTAGTCTGCAATAGACCCAATTAAAGGGAGCATAAGTACTGTCAGTTGTAGAGAAACTACAGATTATTGAGAAATATCTCCATTAACAATCATATTCACTGACATTCTTGTCAATACAGCTAATCCAAATGTCAGCAGAGCTTTTCTTAAGTAACCACTTGGAAATGTGGCAGTTCTCTTTGAGAATGAAACTAAACCCCAGTTATTCATCTTTACCACAGTTTCTGGAAGGGCGTTGCTTACAACTATTCTGATCAGTTGTGAACTTAAGTTCACAACTTAAGTGAACTTAATTGTAAGTGCTATTGATACTTGTCGATAGTGGGCAATTTTCCGTTCATACGCAGATCTTGGCTTCAACAGAACCCAGGTTCTATCAGAAATCACAGAAGGAAACAAGCAAAGCTGAACCCAGGTCGGTAGGTGCGATGTTGATCATACCTGTGTTGCAGAAATCTCCTGCTGTTCACTGTGGTTCATCCGTGCTAGTAACGTTGTGAGCCCGAGACTGTTCAGGCTGTGGGTGATTTCGGTGCAGCGAGGCTGGTGTCTGTTCTACAGCACCAGTCCTCCCTGAAGTGCCAACCACCAGGAGCAGTTCAGCTGAGAAAATAAGTTCCAGGATTGCTCAACACCTTGAGAGATTCGATAGTTATGACTGCATAGGGAAGTTTTTACAAAACTCTCACAGATGAATAGTAGTGTTCTCCTGTGGCTCCCAAAATCCACTGAGCAATTTCTCAGGCTTCAATGAAATAGGTAAGAGATCTATCTGGTAAAAACCTGTTTCAGGAACAACAGTGTATTGTAGCGGGGTGTGAGGGGGGAAGATATAAGGAACTGCTGCTTTTTCCTGGAAGTAGATGCAAAATGTAATGTTTTCCATTCCTTGTTTCTGCTTCAGTTTGTTCTTCAACATCGTCTCTCACTTTGCCTCTGGCTTTTTGTTCCTTACTATCACTCGGCCAGTTATTCTTCCAGTACCTTTCTATTTCATGCAAGGGTAGTTTAAGGTCTACTGTAACTTTTAAAACGCACGGAGTGGATAAGTAACCTTTCCTTTTGTGACTAGTTATCGGTCACACACAATCTGCCTTCAGGGATTTGTATTTAACCCTGTTGTTTCTTTGTCAGAACCTGGTGAGGGAAGTGGGTGCCATTTGGCTATAAACATTGTGATCCTGTACACGCTGCTAGGAGAGTTAGTGCTGGCTCTGAGCGTGTGACTGGCTTTGGATGGAGAACCCATCTAGGTGTGTGATTTATCTCGTTGCTGATAAAACAAGGAATCTTATCGCTTTATCTCCATTCCAACATGTTGACAAATATTAGGTGCCGTCTTTCAAACTTGTGTAGTGCAACAGGTTGCATGTTGTTATCATTTTAGCCTTTCTTCTGTGTTTGATGCAAAATAAGTTCAAATATATCCTTTTGATGTTCTTTTATCTGTGATTCATTGCTAATTCAGGTAAGGATCCCAAGAAATTTAAAGTTCCATAGGATGTGTGGACTACCTTACAAAGTTAATGTGGTTGCATGCAGAAGCAATTCCTACTGGCACCCTTGTGCCTGCCTGGTGCTTCTGTGTGTGATTATTCCTCTTACCTGATGCAATGCTTGCAAATATCCATCCCTCAAGACATTTTTTGGGCAGGGTGATGCTTTTGGGCTCTGACCACGAGCATGTTAGTTTGCCGGCTAGCCAGAACTGCTACTCATAATGCCGTTTATATTAAACAGGGTTGGATTAATATAGTGGTTTTGTTCAGAACTTTAAGCCCGTTTAGTTTTTGTTTGCTCTGCCTAGATGGAACAGCTGGATACAGAAGAGTGCGGTGACAAGCATGTGTTACTAGTCTCAGCACCGGCTGGCTGTTCCCCGAGCTTCTGCACTTAAACTTAGTGTTGGCAACCAAACCAGCTTTACATCTGCATTTCAACTAGTATTTTACCCCAGGTGCTTTTAGCATTTTGAAATAAATCTTAGCAAGTTTCAGTGGCAGTGTCTTCGCTCGCTCGGTTTCAGCACTGCAGCGTCAGTCCCTTGTGCTTTGTCGTGAAGCTCGGTGGCAGCTGTCTGTCCCCGAGAGGTCCTGATGCGCTGAAGCTTTAAGGAGTTAGAAAGAGCCAGTTTTTGGACTGACACATGCAGCGAGTATTTAATCTGGCAGTAGTATTTGTGTGTTTTCCAGCAGAAGGCAATGTAGGGGAGTATTAACTCTCAACGATTCTGAGAGGTCTCTGTAATATAGTTTAATACTGGAGAAGCATTTATTCTTTGGAAATAATTTATTGTGAAATTTTCAATTGCTTTATTTACAGTAGTTGTTCATCTAGCCACAGGCATTTCATGAAGTCGTGTACACATTTGTGTGATTTCTACGTAGGCTTGAATGGGCAATATCCAAAGAAATATTCTTTCTATAAAATTTTATGATTTTCCGAATAGTTTAGAAAAAAGCAAGGATTGTGTACAGTTCAATTTCAGCAATTTTTCTCAGCTATGCAGTTGGTCTTAAATGTCCTGGTATTCCTATTTCGTGAGGTGGTTAGTTTAAGTTAAATGGTGGATACAGGAAGACAATATTTAATGTTTTATGGTGAAATGTGAGAAAATTAAAACCTAAGTAATCTTTTCTCTTTTTAAAACAATAGTTATTTGCAATATTTACAGGTTTGTTTTTTTTTAGATGAAAACAAAGATAATATAAATGAACAGAGCTTGGCAGTGATACTGCCAATAGCAGTACCTTTGAATTTTCCTTTGGTGGCAGAGGGGAAAACATGCAATTACATAGAAATTAGTCCAATTTTATGAGCTGGCTTTTCAGTTCTTGCTAATTCTGGAGTTTGAAGTACCTCACAAATAGCTTTGCTCCTTGTTTGCTGTATATCAAATATCACAAAGTATTTTTAAGCTTTATTCTCATTTACTTTTCATCTGTTTCAGTAGTGATTTGTCCAGTCTGTTTCAAAATCACATATTCTTTTCCCATAAAACTGTTCAGTTTATGTTGATAATGTAGAATGTAAAGGTACTGGTTTTATTTTAAAACCATGCTGAAGGTAGGACAGGATTGCTAAAGATCTTAGGGAATGTCAGAATCTTTTTAAGACAAAAACAATCAAGGTGGATGTTTTCTTGGTGGCATAGTTGTGGTGTAGGGCTTCTTGAATGTGCTTTGCCTGGTGACTGCCATTAATCAATGGCAGCAGTCATTCCTGACTGTGCCAGAGTGGGAGGAAGCGTTTGACTGCTCTGCCAGTGTTCATGAACCATGCTTTGGGAGCCAACAAGGTCATTTAGCTTAAGCTAAATGAACTGACCTATTGTCTTTCAGAGATGCAGTTTAAAAAAAAAAAAAAGGAAAAAGGTGAAAAAAACCCCAAACAACCCAACAACTCAGACCAAGAAACCCCACATTGTCTGTTTTGGGCAAGGACAAGAAATAGATGCCTGTGGTGATCCATGAGCTGGTGAGCTGGTGAGATGTTGTGGAGCTGTTCCAGTGAAAGCATCCTCTGGGGCCTGCTCGTGCACGCGCCACGGTCCAGTTTGCTCCTGTGCCAGCGATGGAGAAGGAACACAGGATTGTCATCTCGATCCTTAAGCAGGCAGTCTGTTCTCTCAAGTGTGGTACAAAGTGAAGGCAGAGGGCCTGCTCGGGGGCTGCCTAGAGGAGGATTGTTTTGGAAGGCACTGGCAGAATGTTCTTACAGCTGTTTATAGCTTGCAGAAAGCAGACAAAGGCAGACGGACAAAGCCATTTCATTGCTCAAGATGGAGCATGAAGTGTGCTGCCATGATGACAGATTCAGATTTCCTGCCTGGAGGAAGAAGTGAGCAAAGAAAATCCAGTGGCATGCTCGTATTTTTGCTTTAAAAATTGAAATAGGTTTTTGATAATTAACCTTTTCAGGTGCTTGCTATGATGGCTTTCTTGTACTGTGTACTAGTGCTGTAGTGTTTCTGTTTATGTATTTCCCAAGAAGACTAATGCAAAAATGGTTTACGGATCGCTTGAGGGAGCTCGGTAATTTCTGGTGAGCGCGTTTTGTCACTGCCTTAGGAGCCAAAAGCTTTGGGCAGTACTTGTCGCAGAATCATCTTTTCATGGCATTAACCCTGTTGGCAGTGAAGCGATGCTGTATTCACCTGGCAAAAGTACTCCTGGATCGAGTTCATCTGAAAGGGAAAAAAGCCGCTCATCTGGTAACTTCATGTAAAGCAAGTGTCATAATCCGAACTGCAGCTTAGTTTCTATTTCAAGTTGTATATCTAGAACTTTTTCTTAATAATCTCTTATTCTAGACTTGTCTGCATAGCAGCAGAAAGCAAAGAGTCAATCCAGTATTAGCTTGAAGTTGTGAGCCCAGTGAAGAGAGGATTAGTTTGGTCTTGAAGAAACCAGAAAAAGCGTTTCTGAGAACGCCGGGGTTGCTTTTTCGTGAGCTGCTTCCTAAAGCCTGGTCTGAGGAGATGAACACAGGGATCTGCCTTCCTGTAGCATTCTTCTGAGAAAGCGAGCGGCCAAAGCAGGTGTCGAAAAGGTTGTGCACTATTTTTGGGAGAAATCTGATTAATGTTGATAGGCTGTTCAGAATCTGGCTATAACCTCCTGTCAGATTATGGTTCGTGCCAAGGTCAGCTCTAAACCTTCCGTCTCGGTTTCAGATGGTGTCCCGTGTGAAGGGCGTTTGTACATGAGGCAAATGGAGTTTTCCTTTCTCAGGAAAATTTTCATGCCTTGGCTAATAGTGACTTTTTTTTCTCAGGAGGCTGTTGTTGCTCAGCACAGCCTGAGCTCTGAACTTGGCTCTTTGTGCTTTTATCGTGAACATAGTATTTTAGTTAGCTGTGTTACGTTACAGAAACCTGTGCTTGAAATGGTTAGTGCCTTACATGCTGAGGAGCAAAAGGATTTTGGAAAAATTTCCAAGTAGGAATGTTTTTATCTCATAAATAGCCCCTTTGGACAGTATTTAATTTTATCGTTAAAGCCAATTGAGGGAGTTCAAAATACTTCAGCCAAGGGGGCAGCAGAATATCTCATCTGCTGCTTGTCTCCCTCTGACCGCCCTCCTTTTCTAGGTGCATCTTTGCTGTTTGCCTCTGCGGTTGCTCAAAAGCTTCCCAAGCTGTAGCAGAATTGCCTTAATTTTCTGCTATCAAAGTTGTTTTGAATAACTGAATGAAAATTGACTGGATCGTTGTCAGTTTTTGTTCTCCTGCTTGGCTGAAGCTGTAAGCAACAAACTATCCTTGCAGGGGTAGAGCCCAGCATCTTGTTGGTTACGTGGTTTTTTGAACACGCTTTTTAAATGGAAGTTTAGTTTCTACAGGAATTGATATTACCAAATGGAAAGGATTATCCTTCATGTGAGCAAGTAGCTTGAGAAAAACCTTTGGGCTGGTGAATAGTGGGGAAGGGTTTCTTTACAAGTTCTGTCTGTCTTAAAATCTCAACAACCTTCATATTTAAAACTAATAAAAACTCTTCTTCGTTTTTAATGGGCTACTCAAAGGTTGTGATTGAATCCTCTTCCTTCCCCCCCCAGATTCCCCATTAGTTGTTCTCAAGTGAAGTTGGCCTCCTTACAGAGTTTTAGACTGTAAGCATTAGACTACAGCATTAGACTTTTACCTTCTCTTCAGCAATTCAGATTATATTTAGAGATTTGTCTAGGGGCTTATGTCAGAAGTTATCTTTGTAATTGCTCAGAAATTTTTATTCCTTAATCAAAAATGTTTTTTCAAGCAGGGACTGTGTACTACTTTTTAGTTACTGAATATCTTAAGACATGTCATAAATTAAAAACCTTCTTTTGGAAACCATTTCTGTTCATCTAACTGGTGTTTTCTGTTTTCTTCTAGGGGTAGCGGATGGCGTAGGTGGCTGGAGAGACTATGGGGTCGACCCCTCTCAGTTCTCAGGGACTCTAATGCGAACATGCGAACGTTTAGTAAAAGAAGGACGGTTTGTACCGAGTAATCCTGTTGGGATTCTCACAGCAGGTTACTGTGAGCTGCTGCAGAACAAAGTACCTTTGCTTGGTAAGAGCAAAAAAATATATAAACTGGATCTGTATTGTATGTTATCTAGACACGTGCTTAGGCGGGGTTACTTAAATCTGTTGTCAGCTTCTACAGCAAATTTGTGGGCAGTTACCTTCTCTTAATGAACAAAAAAAAACCCCGTAGGAATGTAATTGTCTTGATAGCAACCTTGTTTTCTCTTGTATGTTTAAAATCTTGATTCATCCAGTAATGCAGGGAATGTTTGCTTGTGTATTAAAAACCAAAAGGCAAACTGCTGTTGTGTGTGAAGGGTGGTAATCCACTCGTGCTTGCAGAGAGATTGCAAAATGAGTTCAGAGAATACGCTGCGGCATGCGCGCTCGTTCTTTGTTCCGTGTGTGTAAATAACTGTTCTCTGTTGAAAACTCTTCAGGGCTGCTTGGGGTTTTTTCCTTCAGCTACGCAAGCAAAAACACGTTTTGATGATAGTTGAATGCAGTTCTGCTTATTCCTTGCCTTACTGCTCCCGTTGCCTTTTATGTCCAATTAACTTTAAACCTAATCAGTTGACTTAAGTAGCTTATGTCAGGCCATCACTGGTAACATATATTAATTTTATAGTTCTTTGTGGGGGATTCATTACAGATTTTTTTGGAAGTGAACTCAAGTAGATGCTTCGCGTATTCTGTGTCAAAGTTGATTTTAGACAGGGCATCCAGCTGCTCTGGAAATGGTGAGCAGATAGCTGAGGCCAAATGTGGCCTCTCTGACAACCTTGAAAACAGAATACTTTTCTAAAAGCCATGTGACCTCTTATGCACCAAGAAAGTGTTACCCTGCATGATATGTGTGCTTCTCACCTGACCTTAAACTCCTGTGCCAGAAGAGTGCTGCGTAGGCTATATTTAACCTGTCTGCTGAGCTTGGGAACAGATGTTCTTGCATTATGCGCCTAAAGAATAGGTTCAAACCTCAGAAGTGACCTTAAGTATCACTAAAATAGCAGTGGTGGGTAATTACATGAGGATTTTGTGTGTTTAGTGGTGCTCACTTGTGCAAAGCAGATGCGGCTGTAAGTGATCTACAGAGTGGGCCACTGGTGAGAGGTCTCCCAACGGCTTTGTAGACGGAGGCAGCCCTGCTTGGATTGACCTTTCGGATTCTGAAAAGCAGCGTGTGCTGAGTCACAAGATCTGCATTCCACACATGGCCGCCTAGTTACGCTCTGCTAATGGAGTTGGGATTTGAAACTAATGATCCTTAGTGCTTCTCCTTTAACCGAGAACAGTATTTTTAGAAGTAGAAATAAAAGCCTGGAATTACCGTAGCAATGAACATTTAGAGTTTATTTAAAATAAAGTGAAGGGAGAGGACTTCATTAAGGAGGATTCATTAGGCAATAACTTTTCCTTGCTGTTGTGCTCTAAGTCTTGGTATTTAGTTCATCAGAATTGAATCTAGCAAATATTTTAAAATAAAACTGAAGTGGGAGGAAACTGTGCCGTTTATTTGAACACTATCCTAGTATTGCAGAACAGTCTTGGATGCTGTTACATGTAAAAATCTGAGTTTTTCCCAAGGTACTGTGTTGTCTTACCATTCACTAAGAGTGGAGAAGGTCCTGTATATTCACTAGAGGACAAACAAAGTGAGGTGTTTTGCAGGAAGCTCCCAGTGTAAGAAAGGGAAACGCGTGGAATAGGTGATGCCTAGAGGCAGCCGGACTTCTGCCCTGGCACGCTTGATTGTAAGTTTAGCTCGTGCAAGGTTGTGGTTTGTCCAGCGTGTAGCTGTGTTTGGAAACTTCTGCTGGAAGAACATTAGGATAGAAGATGAAGACTGTTCACCAGCTGGTGAAACGGGGACTTCTGCTGGAGGCAGAGGTCAAGAAGAAATGCCTTAGCTGTATTTCACCCTCTGCAGCAGTGAAAGTTCTTGAGGTGGATGTGCTCTCTCATTTGCAGAAATTGATTGCTGCTTGCTGTGAAGGACTTAGTCTGTGGATGAGTGTCTTTCCAACACAGTTGCTTTTGTGGCTTGCAACCAAGCACAGTTGGTGGCTACTCCCCAGTGAATGAATCAAGAATTCCTCAGTGCCTTCAAGCATGGCTGGGATAGTTCTGAGCATTGTTGACAAGTAGATAATGTTTCCGTCCTGTCTGACTTTAATCTGGATTAGTATTTGTCTCCGAAACATATTTTCTTTAAACTTATGAAGTTAGTATTCTGCAGATGTGACAGGATTATTATTTTTTAAAACATGAAGATAGCTCTACAGAGCCATGCTGTGAGGAAGAGCATTTTAATACTCTGTGACAAGAGCAATGCGATAATACCTAATACTTAATTGCAAGCAGTTCTTTACTTGGTGTGGTGTATTTACAGCTGATGAGTAAAACTGCGTGGAGAGCACCTAGCATTGTATGGATGCTACTGGAATTCTATTAGCTCAATGATTTCGGAATTTCAGTATTTTATGTGACTTCTGTAAATCCAGTCCTATAGCAGAATGTGCTGACATGTTGGGATGGAAAACTGTAAATAAAGTGGAACAATACAGGTATTTGTCAGCATAATGTGTTTACGAAAATCAAAGCAGGAAAAGTAAGTTCTATAAAAAAATAAATCATAGTTTGTCTTGGACAGATTGATAGCATTTTGCTGGTTTTGATGTATGTTAATTTTGGTATTATTGAGTATTTCCATTTCTCCTGATTTGTAAGCTTTGATAACTGTTTGAATAATTGGACTTTGAATCAAATCGGTGAAAGAGTGAACAGTTTCTGTAAGGCTCACTCCAGTGATTGTGTTCTGTTTGCTTCCAGGAAGCAGTACAGCTTGCATAGTAGTTCTGGACAGAACAAGTCATCGTTTACATACAGCCAACTTGGGAGATTCTGGGTTTTTGGTAGTCAGAGGAGGAGAAGTAGTACATCGGTCTGATGAGCAACAGCATTACTTCAACACTCCGTTCCAGCTGTCAATAGCTCCACCAGAAGCAGAAGGAGTTGTCTTAAGTGACAGGTAAGATGGGAGAGAATCTTAAATTTTCAATCTGTGTGTGTCAGCAGCTCCCAGAAGGCTGCAGCTTTGCTGCTACAGTGCTCCTTGTATAGTGCAGCGTAGCGTGGGGGATTTAAGCATGTACCTGATGAAAAGATCTTACACCTGCCCCCCTGCCTGCAGGGGGCATGAACGTTTCTTACCTTGTACCTAACAGATTTTGTACGCTGTTGGACGGTCCCATTGCACAGAATTCATTAGGCTATTGATTGTTCATTCGTGATGGAGTATTCCCATGGTCTGTGGCGTGTTCTGATCCATGGAAGGACGTTACTCAGTAAAGCTGCTGCAGCAGGAGTGCAGCTGGTGTACCCAGCGGCCATCCTGCCCTAGTGGCTTGTCTTATCAGCGGCTCTCGTTCCCAGTCCCTGCCTGTGCTCTCTCGAGACTGGTTTGGAGGACGCTAATTTAGATGTTTTGGCAGTGGGGTAGCAAGTGCTTGAAGAATAGAGCAGAGGGACATGTGACTGTGACTTGTGTTTCCAAAGAGCTGTGTTTCCCGCAGCATATTGTATTTGACCAAAACGAGCAAAAAAAACTGTTTGGCGGAACATCAAGCTGGGAAATGGGAGTATTAGGAAAGGACAATCTGTTCACAGAAATGAGTTGTTTCAAAGGCAGACTTGTGCTTGTGTTTTTTCCTAAGAATGTCAGGCTGACCATCCTCTGACTTGGGGAAGTCTCACCAGTAAAATAAAATATTAAAAAAAAAAATCAGCTTTCAAATATGTATTAAATCATATCAAATCAACGGTTATACACTCATTAAAGTGATACGCCTCTCCTGAATACAGAAGGATGATAAAGGGGCCTTCAGAGAGTGACCATAGTATACAGGGAAGGCAATAGTCATCTTTTAAGTTTTTGCTACTGCATCAGCTTTGATATTTAAAGCCTTGTAAGGGTTATAACTTTTAATGCCAAAGCGGCTCCTGTTGAAAATGTTGGTAAGTTGTTGGAACTCCTGACCATTCTTGTGTGTGGTTTTATTACCTCATCAGACTGCAGAGAGGAAGCTTGGGTAGACCTCTGAAATTAGAACCTTTCATTATCTAACTTCTTTATTAGACTAAAAAGAAATGATTGTTTGAAATTCTAGAACTGTAAAATCTTAATTTTTCTGAGATTGTGTGTCATCCATGAGAAGACAAAAAAAACCAAAAAGCACAAGGATAATTGATGATGTCCAGTGGAAGTCAGGAAGGCAAAGTAATCTGAGTCATCCCATAATAAGGAAAGCACAAGATAAATGAGCTCCCACACTTCAGTTCTGAATCATGATTATAGCTTTCTGGCTAGTTTCTGCACTGTTCTTGACGTTAATTAGTGCTCATGCGTGTTGTCTGGGTGCTGCTGCAGTACTTTTTTCATTTGTTGTCCCAGTTAAATGTTAAATTTGGTTGTATATGGGAATATAGGCAGGCAATCGTCACTCTTATTAACCTTCAAATCAGTTAAGCAAAGCAGCTCTCCCGCTTTTTGGCATAGCCAAATGGCATGGGACGCAGCTGTTTCTCCCTTCTAAAGACCCCTGAAGGATCTTCAAAAATTAGGAGTTTGCCATTGTGCTGCTTCCGAGAACCAGATTTTACAGCAATATTGATGGCCAAAGTGGAGATTTTCTTGTCTTGGTATTGTGTCTTGTATTAGATGTGAGTAGACCAACCGGCTGTGGTCTCCTGGCAGTGATATCCAGACATGTTTCACTTTCCATTGCCTTAGAAAGTGACTCGACTTGGAATCCTTACCTGTGTGGGCTGTTCCTGTCACAAACTGTCCTTTCACGTGTAGCTCTTACATGTTTAAGATGAGTGAGAAGAAAGCCTTGACCTGCCATTCTACTTCATGGTTTCCATGGAGATACACTTGTGAAGCAGATTAGGCTGCAGGATTGTTCATCTGGGAATTTTAAATGCAAATCCTGTGTGTAACGGCTGCAATGTTACCTGTTTGCAATCAATGCTTCTGTTACAGCTTTCTGGACCAGCTGTCCTGGTGCGACAGCTCCGCAGGCAGTGATCATTTCTCTCTCTTGCAGAAAAACGTGTAAGCGTAGTGAGTTACAGAAGCCGTTCGTGTGCTAGGTTGGGTTGCTTGGTGCCTTAGTGAAAGCTGGAGTCCTTTTCTCTAACATCCCTGTCGTCTTCACAGCCCCGATGCTGCTGATAGTACTTCTTTTGATGTCCAACTTGGAGACATTATTTTGACTGCAACAGATGGACTGTTTGACAACATGCCTGACTACATGATTCTGCAGGAGTTAAAAAAGCTGAAGGTAAAGTCTGTGTGTTCTGCATCTCACATCTTTTGCACTGGTTATCCCTCCTAGCTACTACCGTTACTTTTTATGCACATAACTTTTGTATTCTCTGTAAAAGACCCACTGCAAAGTGCTGCCTCCTGGAAACTTTTCAGGCTATGCCTCAGGTGAGCAGTAGAAAGGGAGATCGACCCCAGAGCGCTCTCTCTTGGATCTGCACTAAGGCTGAATCCAGAAGCAGCAGATTGGGCATAAATTTCCCAGTAGCAGCTGGTCTCATGTCACTAAGGAGCAATGAGAGGAAGGGGGAGATGTTCAACAGCAGGCGCTGCCTGTGGCCAGCTGCTCACATGCTGTATTTTATCTGCATTGTAGATTATACACCAGCATTCTCTCATGGGTTATGTGAAGGAGCTGAGCTGTATACTTAAAAATAATTTGAAGCTTTTCCGAAGATAATAAAACAGTAATTCTACAGTAGTAGGGGCTGTCTGAATTGTGGGTTGCGCGTGCCCGAAAATTTTTTAATGTTATGCAAAAAAAACCCAACCTCCCAGCAACTTTTTCAGGTTAGCAGCCACAAATGTTCTTTTTAAATAGCAAAAATCCATCAAAATATTTTAATTTGGAGGAGAACATTTAGCTTAAGGCTATTTACTTAAAGAAAGGAAAGTGTACTGAGGAGGTATCAATATGTATAACCTCCCTGAGGGAACTGTTTTGTTAGGAAATGCAAATAAGGTTAATGTGTGGAATTACAGGGCGGTTTTAAAAAGTTTTGCCTGCTCTTACCCTGCAGCTACATAACGGAAAGGTGGTGTCAGACAGACAAGGGTCCTTACAGACAAAATGTCTGAGAGGCCTCTGCACGGCAGGCAGACTCGTGTTGCCCTGCAGTCCCCACCATTGCTCTCCTCTCTGCTCGGTGCGATATTCCCGTGTGAAGTCGAGAGCATGTAGCTGTGCTGTGAAATAGAAAATGGGATTGAATTTTCTTGTGGAAGAAAGTTGAGCCCCACCTTTTGGTGTGCTTGGGAAAGGCACCGAAGTTCCCTTTGAGGTTGAGCCAAAAGTAAATCGTGTAAATGCCTGTGAATTCCCCGAACTGCGGGGAGGACTCCTGAAGTGACAGGGCATTTGAAAATAGTTGCAAACGGAGAGCGGTGGTTGTCATGTCATGTTGGCTTGAGTAAGAAAAGTCTTGGAGTAAAGCAGCAGAGTTGCTGAAACGGAAAAAAATTGGCACTGAAAATGCAGTCTGTAGAAAGTTTGCCTGCTGGATAAATTTTTTCTCATCTAAATTTTAATGTGCCTCTTCTCCCCAAGCGTGCTCTTGTCGATTTGGGTAAGAGGCTTAGAGAAGTAAGACCTCTTGTTCGAGGTAAAACATCATTACTCCCACAGAGCCTTCCATGTGAGGGAAGGATGGTTCCTGGTGTGAACTGCTGGTGTAGCTCAAACATCCTGATTCCTTCAGGTGACACTGTTTAGGAAGAAATCAGTCTTCTAAGTTTCTAAATTCTGTAAATCCTCCAAAACCAAGTCTTGTACCTGGTGGTAGGGAATAGAGGTCTGGATTTAGTTGTGAAGCTTTGCAGTTCTAACCCAAACTTTTAAAGCCTACAAGATGGTGAGCATCTCAGTTGGAAGAGAAGGCGGTAACTAGTGCCCTGCTCTGTGAGAGGAGTCTGCAGTCAGGGATCTGCAAAACTGACATGCATCAGCAAAGCAGCTACCTGTAGGCTTTCCTGTACAATGAAACTCTTTTTTGTCATTATTTAGAACTCCAACTACGAGAGTATACAGCAGACTGCCAGAAGCATTGCGGAGCAAGCTCACGAGCTGGCGTATGATCCCACTTACATGTCGCCGTTTGCACAGTTTGCATGTGACAATGGATTGAATGTGAGAGGTAAGACTTGGTTTTTCCTCTCCTTCTCCTACTCCTGCTGTCCTTGAGAAGCCTTAAGCAGAGTGAGGTTCTGTTGTTGGAAAATCCGATAGGAAAACGGAGTGTAGAGGAACATGGTTGGCAGCAGAGCGCCAATCCGGCGCACCGGCTTTGGCAGGGACCCAGCTCCTGACGTGGGTCGTGCCAGGCCCTCCCTCCTGCAGGGAGGTGGCTGGGACGCAGAGAACACAGCACACTGATTTTTATATTTTTTTTTTCTTTACCTAATATGTACACTCCTGCCCCAGGAATCCTGCCTGCCCCAGGATCTCCAGGCTCTTAGGGAAACGGAACTTGGCTTGTTCCTTAGATTCGGGGGTGTGGGTGGTGGTATGTGAGGGTTGGTTTTTGTGGTGTGGTTGGTTTTGTTGTGGGTTGTTTTGGGTTTTTTTTAAGGTCTTCTGTTATTGGTGCTTTTTAGTTGAGATTCTGCCCAGTCTTTGTTTGTGAGGTTTTTTTGGTTCAAATTCTGACCCGTGTACCATTAGCATCCTTGTCCTGATCTCTCTGTTGGTTCTGTTTCCTGTGCTCTAGGAAGTTGCTGACACCTGGCAGAGTTCAGAGTCCTGTCAAGCACCTTCCTTTTTTCCTTTTCTTTTTTTTCCTTTTAAATAAATAAATTTAATTCTGCCAGTAAAGGTGTTCTCATTATCTCTGTATCAGGAGGGCAGGATTTCCTGCAAGACCCTTAAGCATCTTTCCTTAAGGCAGAGAGGACAGTTGCAAAGCTTGGCCTCTGAGTTGCTACGGAGCTTGATCATTCAGTGATGAGACTGCAGGTCTCCTGGGTCCTAAGGACTGGTTCAGCTTTCTACATAACGAAATTCCTCTTCTCCGAGCTGCTTCCGTAGGATTTGAGTGTACTGCTCTCCCTGTTGAGGTTTGAGAAGTGATTATTAAAAACGTTAAGTAGCTTTTAGAAAGTTACAGAGAAACAGAGTGCTGGAGAAGATGCTGAAGAGGCGTTGGATTTACAGTAGAAATTCCTGAGGCAGTACCGACTCCTTATTGCAGCTTGCTTGTCACACAGCAAGGCCAGGTGTTGTGGCTCTTTGTTGAGTACATGAACAGGCTTTCTGCTCTAACATCCAACAACAACGTGCAAGGTTCTGTACTCCTTTAGTAGTTTGTGATCTCACTAGAGCTTAAAAGGAGAGCGTGCTTTTGCTGTGGTAAGCCTCATTGCCACCCTCAGCTGCACTTCGGAAAGGAGGTGGAGGAAGCAGAATTCTTCTGCCTGCACAAAACAGCTTTTGAATAAATAAACTATTTTTTTTAAAGAGCTTTCCTTGGGGGAATGTCACGTGTTATAAGATGACCTGCTGTGGTTTGATGGAATTGCTTTATTCTTGTCTTACAGGGGGAAAACCAGATGACATCACCGTCCTTCTTTCTATTGTCGCGGAGTACACAGACTGATGTGCCCGCCGCGTCGGCCTCCGATGTTCTCGGCATCCCTCGCTCCCAGCGGCACACCTCCGGTTTCCTGCTGGCAGGATTGCTTTCCTCCTTCGCAGCCCATCTCAGCGGCCTGTTCTCACGCTCGTGGCCAGTCCTGAGATGCAGCTGAAGTCCTCGTCAAGAACCACTCTTGCAGTGCACTGGTCTTCGTCTGCCAGCAAGGAATGAAGAAGCTCAAGGCTTGAAGCATGTCTTTCAGAGCTTAGTCCTTGTCCTTAAAAGGGGGAGGATTGATGCTGTGTCGTTACTGCATTGGAAACGTGACTCACTTTCAAAGGAGTAGAATCGGGTCATCATCTTTCAAACGAGATTGGACAGATAAAGCCTCTCCTCGAGGGTACATTATTTACTAGAAACAGTCACTATTCGTTACAGGTATGTTACAGAACACGCTCGTAAGCATAGTCTTGTTACAGTGATAGCTGAGGTGTCGTGTTTCCAAGCTCCAGTTTTCAGGAGATTTCTAACTGCTGTAAACATCCTGCTCTTGCCACACGGTGTCAGCCCACGAGCCTTTCCTAGTGCGAAATTTCAAAACCCATATTTAGTTCGACTTCAGTGGATGCAAATGTGTTTTGTGGTTTCAGGTGCTTAACTGTGATCTTAAAAGTTCTGCAGATCATTCGTCCGTAACGGGCCTGCTATCTGGATGGTTTGGCTGTGGAGAATTTTTTTTTTTTTTTTTAAACACAAATTTAATCTTCGTTTCAAAAAGCTGAGCTGGCCAGAGTTGAGGTTCTTTCAGCATTTTAGCCCACCTCACCGGTGCGGGACGATCCGGCAGAAACGCTCCGGTGGGAGGGAGCACAAAGAACAGACCATCCTCGACTCCCAACTTCTCCACCTGTGGTAGATAATTCTGTTGTTAACGAGGCGTAATTTGTGTTACTAATTGCTGTTCTCGCTGGTTTGGCCAGAGTATGCTGCACCAGTTGTAAGTCCCGTTGATCCTTGAACAAGCACCTCTCGGCTTACGCTGTGGTGGCAGCAGTAAGCCCGTAAAAATGGAAAATATTAACGAATAATCAGCAACTTACATTTCAGTAACTAAAGTTTAGGGTTTGGGGAACGGACCTTAACGATGTTTACAGTTACCTAACAGCCACTTTGCAATAGTACATTTCCTTTGGAATTACGTAGCTCCCGTTCGTTCCCCCCGCTCCCGCGAGCTCTCCGTGTCCTTTCCCGAGGTTCATACAGAAAGCTCAGAGCTGTAAAGATATATATATTTTTGGTCAGTTTTTCATTAACTTTTTTTGCTGGTAGAAAAGGATGTAGAAATAAATTAAAGCCATGTTTTTATATATAAGAAGTCGGGTAATGTTGCTGTTTAGGCGAGTGCAGTTAAACTCGGTCAGTAAGTGATCTCACTGCTCTCACAAGGAGATTTTTGCTGCCCAGTTTATTGTACTGGAACTGTTGAAGTTTGAGGTTACCTCAGCTCGTTTAAAGAAGTTTTGTGGACTTGTACTGTATATTTGCGTAACTATGTCAAGCTTTTATTTAAGATCACGTAACATGTACCATGTACATGTCATTTTACTCTATTTCAACGCGTCGTGCTTGTAACAGGCATTTCATTTGTAAGAAGTGATTGATTCGGAAGCTCTCCGGTGATTTATCCGCTGTTCCTAAATTGGCGTAATGCGAGCTGTCTGTCTCAAATCGCCTGTAACTACGTGTCAGAATGCCTTAACCGCCCGAACTCCACCAAAATGTTGTTTTGGTGAGGGTTCGGGGAGGATCACGTGAGGAAGACACATCAGCTGGTTCCGTGATCCGTGGAGCAGTGGGTAACTTTGCACAAACCGTCAGTCCGTGTTGTTGTTCGAAGCTGAACGAGCGGCGCCCCGCTGTGCCGTTGGAAGGAATGTATTCCCACTGCAGCACAGGGCTTTGTTCCTGCCGTTGGGAGGGGGTTTCTCTCTCCAGTCGGAGTGTCTTTGTGTTTTGTTCTCCAGTATTTCCTGTCACGCTTCTTGAGTAGAGCAGATCTGATCAACTCTTCTTTCCCTGAGCTTCCCTCAACACCATGCCCCTGCAGACCTGGGCTGTGGTGCCCTCTGACCCCTCGCTCCCGGCACGCTCGTCCCCTGCATTCCCAGTTTCCCCTGCCACCTCCTAGAACTACACACTGGGAGACGGATGTGGATCAGGCGGATGAGTGCGGCGAAGGTGCTCACCCCCGTGGTGCTCCGTGCGCCGCTCTCTCCGGGCCGGGGTCTGGGATCCCCAAAGCCCAGGGATTGGGCCCCCGTCTCCTGAGCTGAACTGTTGCTCTGTGTGTCACACGTAGCTGAGCAGTATCTACAAAGCCATTTGCCTCATATCACCTTGTGATTTCTTTTTTATTTTTATTTTTTATTTACTAAAGAACAAATTTGGATTTTGATTTACAAATCATGAGTTTATCCCTCACCGGACACACCAAAGACCAGTAAAGCTTATAGCTTTTCCATCTGTTTATAAAGCAATACTGTATTATAAAGAATTGATATTTTTATCACATGCTTGATTGTTTTGTTTTTTGTTTTTTTCTTTTCTAAGATGTGCACTCTAAACATATCAAACCTAATTTCTTCGTATGAACTTAAGCTGTCTGCGCACAACAAATTTTTTGGAAAAGGAAATGACAGGGCCCATGTTATCAAAACAATTTTACACGATGCACGAAGCAGTAACACCTCCTGGGAATTGCGTTATTGTGACTGTTCACGAGAGGAATGTACACGAAAGGTGTTCCATGAAACGGAGGTGCGTGAGAGCGGAGCGCAGGCTGACTTCCAGCTGCTGCGGAGGGAGGGGTGCGCGTGGTCGGGAGCTGGTGGTTTGGGAGCCGCGGTCGGAAGGAAAGGGAATTCCGAGTTTTACACACCAGTAACCACGTAACGTCACAGGGCGGGCAGGAGTGGGGACTCTGCAGCAGCGGTACGAGGTACTTGGGTACAACAGGGATAAGATGTGGGGAATTGGAAAAACTGTGGTTCCTTGCTACTTTTCGGGCTATCTTTGGGAGACCTGCAGCATACAGTTTCCCTCCAAATGTGCTCTGTGTTTCTGAAGGAGGTGTGGTTGAAAAACAAAACCCAAACCAGATTTTGGGACCAGACAGTTGACTGAGTCAAGGAGATGGGAGAGGTGAAGGTCTGGCACAGATGTGAAGGATTTTGTGATGGAATCTCCATCTCTTGGTAATGGCCACTCGTTCTCCAGGGAGAGAGCCAGGTCATGTGTGTAAAACGGACTGTATGAAGTAGTTTCTTACAAAGATAGCCGGAATAACGAAGCAAATCCAAGGCTGTATGTGATGAGGATGCTTTTTTGTTGCTAAAGTGAGACTATCATCTATGCTTTCCTAAGGCAATTATGTGAATTTCATGTCTGAGGTATAACTTATGCAGGAATAGTTCTGTAAATACATTTAAATGAATTGTAAAGATATTTAATAAATATAGTATTTATACTAAAAGGTGTTTTTTTCAAGTAAAGTTGACGGCACAAACTCCTTGTTTGTTACTGCAGTGATGTCAGAGTAGGTGGCACAGAGGTGCCCAGCCACCAGTACGGGGTTGCCGGGCTCACGTCAACCTTCACGCAGTGCTCTCAGACCCGCGTGGCAGGGAGAGGGAAGAGAGTCATGCAAAAGCCTCAAACTCATGCTTTCAAACATCACTTTTATTATTTTTTTTTTTTAAATCTGTTCCTGCAACAACCTTGGTTCTGAAGTTAACCACTAGCTCCGCAGTTTCTGTAACAACACCAGCTAGTCTGTAGCACCACCGTGCCTGGCTCTGCCAGGGCAGAGGGGTTTATTTTTCCAGCACTCCCATCTTTGCAGCAGCAGCTTAATTTGCCTGAGGCAGTAAAACAATTTCAATTCTCTAGCGAGAACGTACCGGAGAGCTGCGCGTCCGAAGCAGCCACACTACAGAGCACCCAGCACCTGATCTCAGTCAGTCGATCGTGCCCCAAATTTACGCTGCATCTTGACAGCAGCTGACAGATTTGGAGTGACCTGTGCTGGGGGTTAATGTGAACAGTGAACAACCAACCTGTGCTGACAGAGCAGGAGCTGACAAAGTGCTCAGTGCCGAGTTGAGCTTTGTCCTCTTCGTGTGTCTTGCAAAAAAAAGGAGGCACCACCGGAGTGGGAATCCCCCATTCCAGCCTGGCTGAAGAGGCATTTGTGCAAGGCAGCTCGCCACACAGGCTCAGAATACCAACAGTTTCCATCGAGTCAAGAACTGCAACAGAACTTCTTTCTAAAACTAGAAACAGCCCCACCATTACCGTGTCAAACCTGCTTTGGTCTTCCAAGGCAATCCCCAGTAGCCTTTACTGGGATTCCAGTGCTTCACCTCACTGGAGAACCTGGGAGCTCTCCGTGTTGCCAGGCTCCTCGTCGGTGTCACTGGCTGTTGCTAAACTGCAGAACGTGTGACTGACAGTGTCCTTCTGACAAGAAACTGCTCCAAAAAACAACGACTGAAACTGGAAAAGGCAATATTTAGAGAAGTAAGGAACTGCACGTGATATAGAACAGGCAGGTTAATTGTTCCTGAAGCCTCTGCCACTTCAAACTCTTCACTGGCCTGCAGTGTTTCCCAGTGAAACACGCCTGCCATCAGCCACTGTTTCCAGTGTTAAACACCGCAGTGGTGGCTTTGGTCACCTGTGCTGCTGGGAAAGCAGGTTCCCTGACACGCCACGTGCGGAGCGGAGAATGGTCGTGCAGCGATCCCCGGACCACAGGCGGCGTTCAGCCAGGTCCCAGCGGAGGTATCCCACTGTAACCATGACTGCCAGTCTCCTTACCTGCTGGTAATGAGACCTCCTTGCCTCTTCTTCCAGCGTTGCGTGGCCCTCTGCCTTGGGCCTGGCTGTTCCTTCCATGCTTGTCGTTGCGCACTCGGTGACTCTGGGAACACTTTTCACCCCTTGTTTTGCCACAGGACGCGTGGGATTCGCTGACTCTGGGTTCAGTGCTTTTCCATTCCGTGGTGGGTTTTTGGGAACAACTGCTGCTGCATTGCTATGCTGATCCATGGAGGTTTTTTCAGATTTACCTGTCTTCAGGCTGGATGGGAAAACGTAGGTCAGGTTAGTAACTGGCTTTTACAGGGTTTTGTTAAAACGTCGTTATTTTCTGGTAATGAAAGGCATGATGGCTTTAGAATATTCTCAACAAGTACCTTCCCTTCCCCTCCTACTGAAACAGAACCCCGTGGAGGTAAAAGAAAGCACAAAGTGCTCTCTGTTGCACCACGTTTTATTGCCGTACGTGGTGCTGAGATGTTCCCAAACCTGTCCAGTTCCCAGTTTGCCCATGAGATCCATGCTTACCAATGCCCTGCAAGGATGAGCAGATCACTTTCCATCTTAAATCTGACTTGGCTGGAAAACTTTAAACTTTGATTTTTTCATCCTCTCCAGGCAGCCTGCCTCCCTCACCTGCCCCCGAAGCCCACTGTTACCTTTCCTGTCGCTGGGAGAAGCGGGCAGGCTGCTGGGAAGCTGTCTCCTTCTCCATGTCAGACAAGGTAGCCAAAATAAAGCTGGCTTCCAGCACCATATCTTCAACGCTGAAAGCAATTGGTCTAAACACAAATATTCAGAGGCTAAAGCAACATGCGGAGTTACACAGATTGCAGGAGGAAATGCAGCTGCAGCAGTTACACAGATTGCAGGAAATGCAGCTCGTGCATTTTTACACACAGATTAAACAATGCCTCCTCTGAAAATCTAAATTTGCGGCTGAACAATGAGAGGTGCTTCCCGCTAGATTTAAATGCACCAACGTGCAAATGCTACGCAGTATGATTCAAATGACAGTTTTAAATATGTAACTTAAACTTCTATTGAAACAGAAAACGCGTTGCTGCTTTAGACTCCTACATAAAATCACTGAGAACCTGAAGTGCCCAGGTAACTCGTGGGTGCTCGTTGCCCAGCACAGCTGGCTTAGTCACACTGGTGCCTGTATAACAGCAAACCAGTTAACCCTGTATGGCAGATCAGAAATGCAGCTTTTGCTACGTAATGAAAATCTATTTGACTGTTCCAGCTAAATGCTCATTGCGTAACCTGCAGACAGAACCCGATGGCCGGGTTGCAACTGCTGTACTTGTCGTCAGGAATGTTCCAGAACGTACTTTCCAGATCCCTCGAAATGGATTGAGACTGGAACACTGGTAGCTTCTGACAATGCCAGCAGTCCCTGAAAAGAAGGTCTAGGTGGTTAAATGCTGTTTAAAAACTAAAGATTAATACTGGAATGTAAGTTTATTCCCAGCTGTTGGTTACTGGGAAAAGGAGGGTAAAAGCCTGCTGCTTCTAGAACCCATTTCCTGCCTTCCCTGCCAGCAGCTGTGCCAAGGACGCTTCTGCGTGGGGCACGTCTGTGGCCAGGATGCTTCTTCCTTCAGTACCGTTACAATGTGCCTGCCCACCACCGAAACTGCATTTTTCTTGTTTTAAAAAATGTTTCACTTGCCCGTGAGAGGCTGCTGCGAGGGAATCCACAGCGCCCTGAACATCCTGGGTTTGTAACTGATCCTCCGCAGGTGGTACAACACCGCTGCGGGTCAGGAGGCCTGGCACAGCACCTCCCCGGGCACTCCGCAGGGACCATCGAGTCAGGCAAATTAATGGGAAATGTTCTATTTCAAAACAAATTCTTACTTTACCCTCAATTCTTTAAGGCAAAACGTCACTTCACAATCTATTCCAACTTGGAAGTAGTCGAATTCATCTGGACTTAGTTGTATTTCGGTGAGCATCGTCTTTGAAAAATCTGTTTAAAATAACGAGAAAGCCAAGGGCTCAAAGGAGCAACAAAACTGTGATTATAACCACGAGATTTTTACAGCAGCATTGTCGAACAAATAATTGTATCTTGACAGTGACTAACAGTGATAAATGTTTATCTAAATTTATTTCATAATTAAGTAAAATTCTCCATTTATTTACAGTCTATGGTGTCGAATTAAATGGCTTCTAACAGAAGCTGTTTTATGTTCCCCTGTGTGATCTCACCTTTCACCTGCTGTCTGCTTTGCCAACAGGCACCAGCACAAACAGTCCTGCCTATTGTTTCACGCAGCAAACTGCAGCACCACCTTAACAGATCAGTCGTGACTGCTGACAGTCAGAGGACAAGGAAGGTGGACTTCGGCTCTTTGTTCTAAATTACAGTCTTTTCCGGGTAGGTTAAGGGGCAACAGGAAATAGGCGCTGCAGTTTCAGGTTTTCAGTTGTTGCTTCTTAGCATGAGGTTAGCCAGTAGTTAACAGAGTGTGGAAAGAAAGTCAGAGGGAACTTCCATTATGACCAGGGTCTCAAAGCAGTCAGAAAAATTCCACAGCAGCTCTACCAGCACACACCTACCCTGTTCTCCCAGTGCCAGGCTGCTAACATGCTCCCAGCTATTCCCACTCTTCTGTTCCTCTGCTCCAGAGGTTTCTTGTCTCTCAGCCCTCAACACGGCCCCACTGCGTGTTCAAGTATGTTCTTCTAAAGCTACTGAGAACTGGAGCAAGACACACATGGAACGCACCCGCCTGCTGCAGCAGGGCAGAGCCCGCCACGCACAAGTGACAACGGGTCAGGGAGAAGGTGTCGTTCCTTTCTTTGAACATTAAACTTGCATGTGGAAAAGCCTGAGCTGGGGTGGATGGTATGTTCCAGGGACACATCTTGCTTCAGTGTGTACAGAACACTTGCTGCAGGCAGTACATTGCATCCCATACCAAACAAGAACAACGGGTGCAATTCCTCCTCTTTCTTCTTGACCCTTTGGGTTTTGGTACCTCGTTACATTTTTACCCAGTTTTTTTCACTTTCTTTCTCACAATAACTCTTGTACGTGTGTGTTTCTAAAATAACAAAAGTCATCATTCAAAATGTAATCTTTTTAATGCCCTTTTTTTCAATAATTTCTTCCCTCTTTCACTCCAGTTTCCACCACTCAATCCTCGCTCTGCGTTGCTCTTGCCTGTTCAGCACAATCCCACCCCTACGCTCCAGGCAGTCATCTTTTTCTAGGTCATTATCCTCAGCTTTGGTCACAAGCAAGTAGGAAAACCATCCCCTTGTTGTGTGATACTCCAGAACCCATACTTCAAAACCACGATGATATCTTTAAAAATCAGTCTGAGTCACACACAAAGCATCTCAGTTGCTCTCCTCCTCAGATGGAGATCGGAACACTGAGCACTGTGAGGCCAGCTAACGCTCTGCACTGCCCTTACACTAAAACACACTCCCTGATGATATCAATTCTACAATCCCAGTATCCAGATTTCAATAGCTCTTTTTTAAAACATAACATTATCTCCTTTTTCCTGCCTGCTGCCACACCTCTGCTCTTGCAGCTCTAATTACCTCTGTTCAAGCCTTCAGCAAGTGGCACAACTGATTTCAGTTGGCTGCTCAGCCTGATACCTGTCACTGATCCCAGGAAAATGTTATTAAAAACACACTTTCTTAAAATATATGAAAGGCAGAGGGTGGTAGTGTTATTTAAAATCTCGCTATGCACGCTCCCCCTCTTAAAAATCTCATTCAGCCATAAAATGCATTCTCTGCTTCCGTTGCAATCGTTATTATTCCTTTAGTTCACCCGTTCTAAGGTCCCAATATTGTTTCACACTTTGAATTTCCTTACCAGTGTCTTCCTCAGCGTAACTCTTGAAACACACTTTCATTGGAGTGACTGATAAGGTGACTTCTTCTTGACTGGTTGGGAAGTGAATCAGTATATCGGCCAGCAGCCTATAAAATTTCACTCAATATTAAAATAATTTTACGTGCCACAAATCACTAGCTAGCATTCGTTGCTCACATTCAAAATAAAAATTGTTACTTGGCAACACTGTTTGAAAAAAACTGCCTTTGAAATGTGCACCTCAAAGCGTGCTGTGTCTTTTTAACTGATTTATAGAGCAATAGGTATAAAAGCAATCTAAAAATACAACTGGTGATTACAAAGGCAAATTTGTTGGTACTTAATGCCTGTGCACGCCGCCAAATCAGTCTTACACACACAGATATATATTTTGCTGTCACAGTTTTGAGCAAACCTCGGTGTCCTGTGCTCTTTATTCAAAAGTTTGCAGTTCTAAAAGCTGCATCATCTTTTAATAAACCCAATAAATAACATCTCTATAGAGGTACCTTTATATGCCCTTAGCAGTTTAATGGTTAAATAACATTAAATAAAAATAAATAAATAAAAATAACAATAAAAAATAAAATTAAAGCACTACTTTGTTTGTCCTAGGTGGAAGCTGCTCAAAGGAGTGAATTCAAATGACACATCATGCACTTCTCAAGGTTAGACTCAGTAGAATTAACGGCAGAACGATCCAAATTTTTTAAGCTGTAATGTGGAAAATCAAGCACTAGGATACAGGATTTAGGAATTTCCGATTTTTGACTGTGCCCTAATCAAATTTTGATTATGCTAATGACTATAACAGCAGTATTGCCTCCTGTATGATTTTTTTTTTTTCCCCGAAAAAATACTTTTGTGTTCATTACCTGGAGTGGACTTTGAGTACGTTTGGACACATGTGCTTTGCAAAAACAGCCTGCAATGGATCACATTCTTGAAAAGTCAGATTGTAAGTTTTTACAACCCCTACGTATAAAGGATATGGACAAAAATCAGTGCTGGTCTGTAATTTTACATGTTTTTTCAGTATTGATTATTCTTTTAGGAAATCTCAACAGAGAAAGCAACCAAGCTACTCACTACAGCCACGTGGAAATAACTCACCCACAAACAGAAAACTGAATTGCCCTTCCTTCATCCTTAGTTATGCTCCTCCAGCATCTGGGTTTTCTAGGAATCCACATCCGTGAACAGCAACGAGTGCAACAAACGGATGGGGAAAAAGGCTTCAATATTTAACTGTTATAATAATAAATGGTGGTGGAACACAACAGGCAAACCTTATAGATCTCTACATGTTTCTAGACAAGCACGAGCTGAGTGAGCTTCACTGTCTGGAGACCTAATTCCCAATATTGTCTCATGAATACAGGCTGGGTTTTTAATGACACAACCCACTGCCTGTCACACAGCTCAGCTCAGCAAGCTGGGGAGAGATGATGGTTCTTCAGGAGTTTTGCAAAGACCGACGCTGATGAACGGACATGCTGTTTTGCTGGACGTGCTGAAAAACTCTTAAGTATTCGAAGTGGAAAGACCCAGTAAATCCTCTAGATGAAACACCTGCCAAAACAGCATTTCTCTCCCTTCCATAACATGTGTGTTTTCAAAATTTACTCCAGGCTAACTCTAAATGTTGTAAGCAGCACAATTAGCATGTGTAACCACTGAACTGAAGAACCTTTGCCTGATAAAGCCCGTTACAGCTTCCTTTTAACCAGGTGATGCCCATGATAAATACAAACTGTGATGTGAAGAGGCTGCAAGTGTCTGGCATAATGGTCCATCAATAACATTCAGCTCATAATTGCACTAAATATGATGTTGTCCTGCTGCTTTAAACTGCTTCTGCGAAGTCACTTTATGTGTAACGTACCGTGTTTGCAGAGGAGCTGAAAAGTGATGTGGTGATCATTAATATTTGTATAAATCCTGCATTTCTCCACATTCCTTTCCAGCACATTTACACATCTAAATACAGGAAGAACTGACTGGAAAAAAATAATTAAAAAAATCAGTGCAGAGGTTACTCACCAAGCAATTTTGCAACATTATTTCCCAAGTTTGGTGTGGTTTCTCTCAAGCTCCTGCTTTTACAGCTTCCCCAAACCGCTCTGTAAGCAGACAATGAGGCAGCCCATGCTGATCCCATCCTCACCCACTATTCCAACACGTGGCCAGCAGATCTGTTTGCTAAGCAACTGGACAAAGCTCTCCTGCTTCACTGGTTTTGAAGGCTACAGGAGAAACACTCATAGAATCATGGAATGGTTTGGGTGGGAAGGGACCTCAAAGATCATCTAGTTCCAACCCCCTGCCATGGGCAGGGACACCCTCCACTACACCAGGTTGCCCAAAGCCTCATCCAACCTGGCCTGGAACACTTCCAGGGATGGGGCAGCCACAGCTTCTCTGGGCAACCTGTGCCAGTGCCTCACCACCCTCAGAGGGAAAAATTTCTTCCTTAGATCTAATCTAAATCTCCCCTCTTTCAGTTTAAAGCCATTGCCCCTTGTCCTGTCACTACACGCCCTTGTAAAAAGTCCCTCTCCAGCTTTCCTGTAGGCTACCTTTAAGTACTGGAAGGCTGCTATAAGATCACCCCAGAGCCTTCTCTTCTCCAGGCTGAACAGCCCCAGCTCTCCCAGCCTGTCTCCATAGCAGAGGTGCGCCAGCCCTTGGATCATCTTCATGGCCCCCTCTGGACCCGCTCCAGCAGCTCCATGTCCTTCTTGTGTTGGGAAGAGGCAAAAATGTGGTATTCCTTCACCCCAAGATTAAGCTGATTCAGACTTCAGGAACTGCAGGGCACAGCTCAGGAGGTTCAACTTCTAAACACAATTAAATACCAACGCTCTCTTTTGCAGAACTGCTCAGAAGAGCAGTTTAGAGCCATCTACAAGCCTCTGTGAGCTCCCTCCTGTAATTTCATTTGGAAATTGGGCTAATTTGCTGCTTACAAAGCTCTGCATGACAATCCATTAAAATGTACCTTAATTATCAATTTACATGGCAGGGATAACTGTTTTTCCTTCTGACATGGTAGAGACACAGCTGTCCAGCAGTAATGTTGAAAAAACATAGATGAGAAGAACACACATGCATATGCCGACCTTGAAGAATTCACTGATCTTAAGGCAAGCTGAAAATGTAATTAAAATAATTTATTAACTCAAAACTATTTTAACAAACAAGCCTCCTTTGTGCTTCAGTACCATACCTAAGGCACAAAACCTTTAAATGTGTGCATCTCAGACTCAATAGAGATGCATCATGGATACAGTCACGTTCAAACTTATCACCATCATTATTACTGGTCAGAAGTCACTGGTACAACACAGACACAGGAACCCAACCTATGGACGTTTTAAGTGGCCCTGGAGTGTGTTACCTAAACACCTGGAGCTCAACTTGTGTTGGAGGCATTTGAAGGACTGTTAATTCTAAAACAATCTTCCTGTACACCCATCCACACAATACGTACCGATGAGCAAAGACACTGCTAGCACCTCAAAAATTCTTCAGGTATAAAGAGAAATTATCTCCACTTCTGATTTTCCAGCCTCCCAGCAAGCTGCTAAGCAGAGTTGATCACTTTTAACTAAGAAACCTCTAGAGAAAACCCTAATTCTGCTGGAAATGGCGTTTGATTAATCAGAGGCATATTAATGGCTGCATTCTTCCTGATGAGTCATACCAGTACAAAAACATGTTGTTTAGAGGCAGCTTCTGATGTGGTACAGAACATGAACCTTTTAACCCATGGCAACAGAAATAAAACCCCTGGTACTAATCCAGATGTCCTGGAGAAGCTTCAGCTTGGGTAACAAAAAAATCAAAGAATATTAGGGGCAGAGTAGGAATGAATCTTCCATGATGGAATCTGCATAATTACAATTACAGAATGTACGGCATTTGTCCGTACTGAAAGCGGAGGGAGCTGAGGGAGAACGTAACACAGACTGAAGGGTACCTGCAGGAAAACAACACAATAGCCAACAATGCAAAGACTGTACTTCCAAGAAAGATTTTAAATTCCAGTAAATCAAATTCACTTACCCCTTTTTCTATGGGGTCAAACCAAAATTCATCACTAATACGTGCTATGGCATGTATTGCTCTTCCAAACACTAGCAGGAAAAGAAAACAGTGCAATATGCATTCTAAGTTAAAAAGAAGTTATACTGCATTTTCTCCAGAATATTTTAAGAGGAAACATTACAAAATTCCTACACATTTCAAAGAAAACTGATGACATGATGGAAAACATTACTCTTCACTTTTTAGTAGCACAAACACCTTGATGTTTTCAAAGGCTGCCTCCAATGAGGCACACCTAAAACACCACCTGTCCCTTTGCAGCAACTGGTATCACCTGATGTCACCACGAATTGATCCAATCTAATGGGATAAAATACCGCTGAAGTCAGAAACTACGTTTTGTAGATAGCAACAAGTCTGAGCAGGCAGTGAGCAACTGGACATTACGGTGCAGGTGTAGCCCTGAGGAACACAGCAGAAACCAGCAGCGGGTCTCAAAACGTGCCTGTGCCCACCCTGATGCGGGCAGAGTGGCATTTTGCAATAAACACTGTGCACAAGTTTTGTGGGGCCTCTGGAGGGGAACGGTGTGCACAGAAAGGCGGCCGGCTGACCTGTGGCTTCTCCAGTCCCTAAAAGGGCTACAGGAAAGCTGGAGAGGGACTTTTTACAAGGGCATGGAGTGACAGGACACAGGGCAATGGTTTTAAACTGAAAGAGGGGAGATTTAGATTAGATCTAAGGAAGAAATTCTTCCCTCTGAGGGTGGTAAGGCACTGGCACAGGTTGCCCAGAGAAGCTGTGGCTGCCCCATCCCTGGCAGTGTTCAAGGCCAGGTTGGACGGGGCTTTGGGCAACCTGGTGTAGTGGAGGGTGTCCCTGCCCATGGCAGAGGGGATGGAACTGGATGGTCTTTGAGGTCCCTTCCCACCCAAACCGTTCTGTGATTCTCCACCCGAACGCACCCACAAACCCACGAATTCCGCCTCTGTTCCACAATCCGAACAACGCTCCGAGGCTGCGCGTTGCCCAATGGAAACGCCATTGCGTTCGCAGGGCTGAGGAAGGGGCGAAGGCGGCGGGGGCAGCGCCGGGCGCCCGGAG